CCCCCTAGAAGTAAGTCTAAATACGCCCCTGTCTCTTGCCATCTGTATTTGAAGAAGTACAAATGATTCTTAAAATGATTTCGATATTAAGAGACGATACCTCTAAAGACGATATTTGTTTTCTCAGTAGTGATGTAAAAGTATTTTTGACTTCTGACAGAATATTTTGAACATTAGATTTGAAATGTACTAACTCTTCTACAAAATTTGTTTCTATGTTTAAATTGTACAATTCAACAATTAAGAAAACAACAACTCAATATCAAATCGTAATCATAGAAAATACTATAAATGACAATAACGGGTCTACCAACAAAACATAAAAATATTCAAAAGTTATACATTATGGAACACCCTACAAATTTTTATAAATTTTTTAATTAAATTGATGCGTGTTAAACTGTTGGAGAATCAAAATAAAATGTTTGAACCATATTTTTCAGTATGCCAAGAACGACAATTTTATATTTTGCAACAAAGCTCGTCCCAATAAAGGGATCAAAGATGATTAATATATCGACGAAGGATTGGGAGGAAGTCGGAAGTGGGGATTTTACAAGGGAAAGGTAATAAAATGATTGAGTTGAATCTAGCCAGATTGTCAGAAATTTAATTTCCAAGGATTTCTGAATGATTGGGAGTGCAGGGGAATTTGATAATACAATGATGAAACATTTTATATTTATACATTGATTAGGCAACCAAAAATAAAATAAAATTAAGTACCAATTAAAGTTTAAAATAATTGAATACTAATATCCATTTTATTAAATTTTGTACATAGATGAAATATAAAGTAGTACAGATCATTATCATAGACGTGCGCAGATTCCTGTTTCTGGTGTGGCTTTTATTTTTTTTGATCACCCATCCCCTTATAAAACCCCACCTTAAAAAAAAAATAGATATGCTAAACATAAGTAAGTAAAAATTAAATTTATTAGAAAAACTGATGTACAATCTGATTATCAATTAACGCCAGTCCCGGAAATTTTATTTTTTTTATATTTTGATAAAATTGATAATAAAAATTTCGATTTTCTAAAAAAAAAAGAGTTATTGGCTTTTTTTACCTAAGTACTTGGTACCTACCTACCTAAAAAAAAGTCTCAGGTTTGGCGATTGTCGGAAAATTAGTACGGTCGTTTCGAACATGGAATATTGAAACGGTTATTAAACACCAGGATTTCTTAAACTATAAAAATAACCATGAAGCATCTACACATAAGTTTAGTACTGCATGACTTTGTAGGGAAGTATTAATCTAATGATTAGATTCTAATCTACAATGAAAAATGACAATGTTGATAACGATGAATAAAAATATTATATGGGTTTTATGCGACCTAGTACAACTGTAACATTCAACATATTCCCCCACGTGCACATAATTTCCAATTTTGTAAATTTTATTATTATTTATAAATTATAATGGAAAGTTTTAAAACTGAAAAGGGAAATTCTGTACAATAATTATTCGTATATTATTTAAAAAAAAAATAATAATACTATTAGTTGGAAACGTTCACAAAATACGACATTAAAATGTTCGGGAAAAATTACAACAAATTTAATTAAATCCGTAAGTTTTAAATTAGTAATAATTTATATTAATTTGTGTATTTTAATGTATAATGTAAGGTGAAATCATTAATTTTATTTCAGTATATAAACTATTCAAATATAGCGTTACACAGTGGTCGAAATGGCTCAAAATAAGTTGAGGGATGCCTTACAATTCAAATTTCCTGATATTATCATAACATTCTTCATACCTTGTGTATCTAAAATATATTTATTTTTTTTATAGTTCACATAAGGTCCGTGGCTCTAAATACGGGTATAATACGGGTTTCGAAACGGCTTATACTAAACAATACGATTAGCCGGCCGCCCGGGCCTGAATGTTAAAAACAATTATTTTCACCTAAAAAAAAAAATTTCTTATATATAAATATAAAAATTATAATAAGTATATCATTTTAAAATACAAGTCTTGGAAGGAATGCGTTATTCTAGACAAAACAAGTAGAGGGATGAAAATTGTAAATACAAAAAAGTAGAGGGATGCCATCCCTCCGTATCCCCCCCACTTCGAGCACTGTTGTTACATAATCACACTTCAAATAGTAAAATTTGCGAAATAACTGTTATTAAACATAATATAAAAAAAAGACTTATACCAGTAGCAGATTAGAGTGTAAAATATTGGTCGGCAAATTGATACGAGGGGCCTCGATCTAGAGAGCTATAACTGCTAAATTTTAACCTTTATTCATTGACACACTAGGTGGGCTAGGGACAGGAGCTTAAAACCATAATAAGCTACTCCGAATATGTGTAAAATGTTCATGTGTCTGATAAAAATAAACTCTCATAATATATTTTTTTAGCCCCCAATTTTATTTAAATCATAGATTGATAGATAAACATTAGCAGTTGTATTTTCATTTACAAGAGAACTTCGGGAGCTTAAAAATAAAAAATCAGGATCTGCTAGTTCAAAAAAAAGAAAATGGTATTTATTTAAAAGCATGAATTTTTTGACGGAATTCATGTTATAACACATGTTATAAAAACAAATGGCTAGTAATATAAGTGACATATATTTAGAAGAAACAGAAGAACACTGATAATCAGAAAAAGAACAGAATGTAACACAAGTAGAAGAAAACACAACAGTAGAAAAAAGTATAATTACAGAAAGTGAACCAGACATTAGATAAGCAGTATTTAAAAAACCACAGAAAAAACAGTACAAGACTGCGAGTGAAAAAGTAGCTGCACCTATGAATGAAATTTTAAAGTCTAGGACAAATAAGCCAACACATGTTGAAGATCACATACAAACTGCAACCTCTTCGTCAGATGACATTTTGGTAACTGTTTGTGTATTTTTATTTTTTTGGTGTATTTTTTTTTATGTTTGTCTTGGTCTTATCTTGCCTTGACTTGACATGACTAACTGATATGCGTATATATAAAACAAATTGTTTTTAGTTGACTTAAAACAAAAATGACTAACACAGTTTTGCTCTTTTGGTGTGCGGCCAGCCTTAGCTGATAAAAAAAACAAAAAATATCGTATATCACGAAATGCTTATAATTTCACTAAAGAGAATCAACCTAAATGTAACTCATGTAGCAAAATATATAGCTTTCTTAAAGAAAAAGTCTTGACATTGAAATACTCGATTTTTGTGGTTTTATTAAATTTTTATTTTCTATATATTATCCTAATGAACTATTAAACATAATAAATTGTTTGTAATTATTTTATTACGTTAATTAAAATATATCACTATTATGTTGTTTATTACATTGACGGCACGAAGGCGGTACGAAGTTCGCCGGGTTAGCTATTATATATGTTTACAAATTGTAATAAAAAATAAATAAAAAAATTATTATAATTAAATAAAAACGCAAAGTAGGTAGTACCACAAATGAGTGGCTTCTTCCCTCAAAAGTCTCACATGCAGGGCTGGTGCTTGCAGGGCCATTAAGGGCCGGCCTTAGGTTTTAACTACCTTAAGCAAATATAATTTATGCTGCCTCTATTCAATAGTTAATTTTAGGGAGTAGGGTTGCCTAAAATATAGACATTTGGTTTTTAACCATGAACTTTTGTTATTATTGAAAAAAAAAAACTTTTGAGTGACCAACGTTTTCTTTATAAAATATAAAAATATAAAAATAAAAATAAATGTTATGAAAATAGAACATGTCATTATATAGATACCGACATTATACAGTACTCATACAGTATCGCACAATAAAAATAACTATTAGATTATTAATTGAAAAAAATATGACTACAACATTAAAATTATATCAAATTATTTTGTGTGCAAAATCAATGAATACATTTTTCAATAACTCAAGATTTTTCACCACTTCTTGATAATAAAAATTGTTATTAAATTTAGAATGGAAAAATTCACAAGCATTTGTTGTATCATCAGAGTAGGCCATAATTTTGGAGGAAAAACTGATGATGATACCTTGCACCAGATCAATTACGATAAAGCGTCATATTAGGTGCCCATACACGAGCGGATTTTATAACGGATTTGGTTTGACGGACTAAATCCTTAGGTCCTTGAAAGATTTGGTCCGTCGGACTAGGTCCTTTAACGTGTCCACTAACGTGAAAATAAAAGTCCGCTATTTTTCGCGGAGCGAATTCACCAGCGGACCATGTCCGCTGGTTAGTGGAGGAAATCCGTTGATTTTTATGCTGAGGACCTAGTCCTTTGGTCTTTCAAGACGTTCTGAAAGATCTGCGGATTTATGCGACGGACTACAACAGTTATCAATAAAACAAAAATTTCTTATCAAGGTCCGTGGTCCGTCGGACCTGGTCTTTTAGTCTGTGGCAAAGCGAGAGACTTGAACCGTTGGACTAAATCCGTTGGATTTTAAATCTGTCGGATTGAATCCTTAGAACACCACACACGATAGGACTTTTTAGAGGATTTAATCCGTCAGAGACCAAATCCGTTATAAAATCCGCTCGTGTATGGGCACCTATTAAGTGTGTCATTAAAAGGTCGTGGATGAAAACTAGTCGTCGTCAGTATTGATCTCATTTTGAGTAGACTATAGATCAGGGGTGGACAACCTAAATGATTTTACGGGCCACCTTGGAAATACATTACGATCCCGCGGGCCACATACTTGTATTATTCCCACATATAAAAAAAATCTGGACTAAACATTTTAAACAGGATTAATTATTATAATAAAATAAGTTTTGGTGTATTCATTATTTGAAATAAACAGAATGAATTATTATTGTTTTTATCGCCATATTCTGAATCTAATTCTTTCAAGAACATTTTAAATTGTCGGTATGGAAGCGCATGTAATTAAATGCTACTGATTCCATAATATGACTACTTGCATAACATGATTCATAGACAATATTTGGGAACAAAGATTTTGTTGATGAATCAAACAGTTTGTTGCGATTACGTTGTTAATAATACGGATTCTGCGTTGTGCAGATATTCAAGAATATTTTATTGGGACAAAAATGAATTTATTTTGTTAGATCTCGCGGGCCGCAAACTTTCCAAGGTGGGCCGTGGGTTAGGTTAGAAACACCAGTGTAAAATTGTAAATTGACAAATGTTTATATATTTTTAAAATAAATAAAGAAAGTAAATAGTGGTTATATTCATGTACACGACCGTGAACGCACGGACTTGGGTTTTTTTATTGGGTAGACGTATATTCTGAAAAAATAGAAGTGGGTACACGTCGTGTACCCCCGTGTATCTTCCACTACACCACTGATGCCATAACTATATATTTTTGGATTTTTAGATATAACGATTATTATGACTTTTTTTTTTACTGTGATTAAAATTTTTAATTATAATTATGAAAAATATGATTTTATATTATTAGGTATAACGATTATTTATTATGGTTTTTTTACTATGGTTTATACATTTAATGTAAACGATATTATATTATATAAAAATTTTTTTTTTAATAATATATCATATTAATTTTATACTTCTACTTGATTTTCTTCACTGGTGGAATTTACATAAACTCAATTTTATCTGATTTTTTTCAGTGGAGGATTTTACATGAAATCAATTTTACCTGTTTTTTTTTTTTTTGGCGGAGTTTACATACCTGTGGCTAGTACTGAATTGGTTCCCGAGCTCCAACCCCACGTCCCGAATTTGTTACCGCCTGAAAAAGATATTTTATTAGGTATAGCCAAATTGGTTCTCGTTTGAAAAAGTTATTTTATTAAGTATAGCCGAATTGGTTCCCGTTTGAAAAAGTTATTTTATTAGGTATAGCCGAATGGGTTCCCGTTTAATTACTTACATTTTCCTTTTGAATTTTACAGACTATCAACTTTAAAGTAGGCTTGGTTAACAATGTGCGTTAATGTATGGTTATAGATACCTAATAAAATACCTTTTTAAACGGGAACCAATCCGGCCAAATAGGAACCTATTCGGTTAATCTCGTGCTCGTTGTACAATTGTCAAACCAAAACAACACATGCGGGTATGGCGTCCTCTTAAATAAATATATTCTGATAGGAAATATAGTTCAAAATTATTAATATTAGAAACCGCTGTCATAATTTATTCATTTATATTATATTTGTAGTTAGCAGTGCTCGAATTGGGGGGGGCGTGGACGGACGGAGTCCAGTTTCATTTTTCCATAGATTTTAGCGTTCCCTTTCATTTAATTAAGAAAAGAACGCTAAAAACGAGTCCCCCGTGGGAATTTTTACTTTTGAACGGTGTATTTGGATTTTGTTTTCGTTTATTTCTATTTTCTATAGCAAACTGCAAAGTGATGGTTATTTTTTCCCAGAAAACGGTTATCGTTGACGATAATCACGGACTAAGATAATAATCACGGCTAAATAACTATATCATTTTGAAGTGATTTCGGTTGTATAGTCGTATAGGTGTTTCTACTTTTTACTTTTGACAACCTTTTGAGAACTTTTTGTTTAATTTTCCACCAATTTACAAGATTCACACAACAAAATGGATTGAATCGAGGGTTAAGTAAGGCAAACGAACAGGAGAGGAAGAAAATTGTCCTAAAAGAATAAAAATTACAGGAGAAAATGCATACAAGTCATTGTGGAATTTAATTAAAGAATAATATTTATTTCTGTAATTAATATTATTATTTCGTTATAAAATAATGTTATAGTAATAAGCAAATAAATATTATATAATAATACTACTTTTATAGTGCCATATTTTATGTGCAGGAGGCGCGGGGGACGAAGTCCATAATGGGTTACTTTATAATTTATCAGTTAAAGAATGGTATTTTTTTAACTAAAACCATTGTCCGTCCTCAATTTTTTTTCCAATTCGAACACTAGTAGTTAGAAACATAATTTTAATTTAATTTTTAACATGTGAGTGACTCTTATTTTTGTAATATTAATTATGATAACGACCTGGAAATGATTGATTGATTAATAATTTTTAATTAATGTAATGACTACTATATAACAGCATATTTTAAAATTTAAAATTTAAAATTTAATTTTATAATTAGGTTTGAAATATAGGTATAGATATGGCAATGAAATAGCTTATGATGATTACAAAAAAAATTGATTTACATTTTTAAGGATAAATATTTTGTACTCTATGAAGTAGGGAAATTTTAATTTTAACTTTAATCATGATGTAAATATTTTTGACTAGTGTTTATTTTGGTGAAATGGATTGATTATAATTATTTGTTTGTCAAAGAGTTTTATAAAACAGTTCTATTATGTCTTGTATTTTACATATTAAAACTATTTTAATGACCATAAATTATAATATATGATGATTACTTATTAGCGTTTGATTATTTTTTTTTACTTTTTAATATTATAGTGTTGATTAGATGAATCGTATATTTAAAGTTTTTTGAGTGAAAATGCAAATGTATGTACTAATATGCAATCAATTTAAATGTTTGGTATTGAAAAAATATTTAATCAGAATTTAAATTATTTTTAGATATGCATGCCTACTAATTAATATAAATGATAATGTTTTTATAAATTATTTATCTTTAATCTGTTAAAAACAAATTTATTATTATTAAATTGTATAATAAGATTATAATTTTTTTATTGAATAGTTTTTATTTTTACTTTAGTTATTTATACCTAATTCTTATAATTAAGAGGAACAAAAAACAAATTAATTGGATGTATGTTATCACCTACTATTTATGAATTATCAATAATTTTTTTATTGCATACTTTTTTTTTATTCATTTACAGGTCATTCTCATAATTAAGAGGAAGAAAAAAAACAAGTTAATGGGATGTATGTTATTATCTACTATTTATGAATCATTAATTGATTGGTGATAATATTTCTTCTAAAAATTTACCTATTTACGCAAAATTCTAGACAGTTTGATACTTTTAGCATTTTAGTTGATGCACAGAGTTCTAAAAAGCTACAACAATTAAATTTTGTATATAATTGAAATTTTTTAAACGTTTAATACATTAAATTTTTTATTTAAAATGATTAATACTGGGTATACAACTTTATTCACCTATCACTATTAATTAAATTAAAATTTCTAATAGTTATGAATAATACTGACAACTCTGAATTAAATAGACTTAAATCTGAACTCAATTCATATTACGAATAGTAACAAACAATTAATTAATTGGTTTTTCTAATTAATATACTAACTAATTATTCTGAATTAATTATTTGTACATAGGATGTACATTAATTTCATATTTTAATTGATAAATACCTACATAGTAAAATATCAGCTAATATTATGAATAAAAATTAAAAATATAAAATAAAACTTTTCAATTTTACAAATGTTGAAGGAAATTAGAAGGACGGACATTATTCATTACTGGAGGAAGTCGTGGTATTGGTAAGGCAATTGCTTTAAAAGCAGCTAAGGATGGTGCTAATATAGTTATTGCGGCAAAGACTACAGAACCACATCCTAAATTACCGGGAACCATATACTCAGCTGCAAAAGAAAGTAATTTTAATAATGTTTAATATTTAATAATATTTAATTAAATTTATCTATTGAAAATATACTGAGAGAGAACTATATTTTATTGGAAAATATTTTGTAGCAACGTAGGTATATTCTCGGAAACTATTTTCTTGGGCCCATATTAATTTGGAATCGCATTTAGTTGGAAAAATATTTCATCGGAATGTATTTTTCAGCCACCTCATGGACTTGGGAAAATAATTGATCGGAAGTCTGATGGAACTGGATTTACTTGAGAAACTATTTCATCAGAAAGTATTCTGTATGAAAATATATGGTTGGAATAGTATTTTCTTGGAAATTTAATTAGTTTATGTATATATGCATATTATAGTGAATAATAAGGTTTATTATATTATGTATAGTGATAGGCCGAATCTAATTTTTCGGTGTGGAACCGAACTCGAACCGAACATTATCAAAGTATTACGAACCCAAACCAAACCGAACTTATAATTATTTTAATAATTATTCAAATAAACCTGAACCGAACTATTAAAGTTTTTTATGGAACTAAAATTCGAACTCATAATTTTTTTCCTTTAATAAATATATATGAAATTATGAACAATTCACTTATACTGTGCAAAATTTAATACACTTCAAAATATATAATAAATTATAATAATTATTTATTAACAACCAATAGTATTATTTCTGATAATTTTTTTAAAAATATAGAGTTAAAAAAAACATTTATATTTTTCATTTTCACTTTTCCAAAAATTGATTTATGGTTTTGATCATATTATCACACATCATATGAAAAATAATCTGTGATAATATTAACTATAGATATTTACAAAAATAATCACATGCTTCAGTATGTAATTATTATATTTAACATACCTAATCATAATAATATAAAAAAAAATAGTTAATATTACTATGTTATTTACTACTAACTATAAAGTATAGAAAATTAATTTTAGATTGTTTGATAAAGAATATTTTCAAGTTCAAATTTGGAACATACCTAAATGGTAAATATTTCGGTTCGATTTTCTTTCACTTTGAGTTCGGATTACGAATCGAACCGAACATCTAGTGTTCTGTTCGGTTCTACCCATCACTAGCTATATACCTTTCTGTCTTTAAGTTCTACATATTATATTTTCTTATCATATATGATTAATTTTGATAGTAAAAATATTTTCATTTTATAATACAAAAATATTTTACTTTGGTCTAAGTAGATAGGTCATTCCATGATGAAACAATGGAACATTTTTTTAGAAAATTCAAATTAAAATTATGAAAAATACAGGTGATTTTTTTTGAACAAATAAAACAAATAAAATTAATAAACAAAATGCATGCATTAATCTTGGATATCATTAAGTTGTTATCTGTATAGAAATATAAAATGAATTAAAAATATAAAATTATTATAACTGAAAATATCCATTATATTATCCAATTAATAATATCCATTGATATCCTGATAAATTATATTTATGACTATTTTTTTTATAAACCAACAGTTACTGTATTTCGAAGTCCAAAGAATGCCAAGGTAAATAACGAAAAATATTTGTACCCACACACGTTGTCACAGGTTTTTCCAAAAGGAGAAAATATTTTTCGGTAGTTTTATACGTCTTTTACCTTCAAGGTTCCACCATCTTTCCATAATTACACAAATTTTCGCAGAAGAATAATATTATTTAAAAACCTTAGAATTAATTTTTTTTTTAATAAAACTAATGTCTTTAATTCTATATTTCACAAACACCATCTTGTTAGCAAAATATGTTTCCGACTAAATACGTTTACAATAAAATATTTTTCCTGATAAATATGATTCCTAGCATACATTTTCCAACATTTATGCGCTCCTTAAATAGATACATACATTCAGTTTTTTTTTGTTTTTTTTTAACTTTTAAATTAATATACCTACCAAATAAGTAACTATATCATACTTACAATGTATGAACCTAATTAGATAGTAGTTTTAAAATTAGGTATACAGAAAAATAATGTAATACAAAGTTGATAACTAAATGTTTGAGATAAGATGTATTCAATTACTCTATGATAAACGTGTCGAACCTAGTAGGTGACTTGATATAAATATATACCTATATAAATTTAAAAATCTTCCATAATTAACTTTCTTCAATTATACCTTTTGACCTAGAACCATAATTATTTACCAGATAAATTAATTCACAAATTAATTTGTAAAAAAAGGCAAACATATGAATACATCAGAGGTAAATTTAGTTTTGTATAATATTAAAAATTTAGAAAATATATAAACCATTTATTTTGCTAATAAATTACCCGTATGTTATACCTATATTAATGATAAATTTAAATTTCAAATTACATTTTAGTTGAAGAAGCTGGAGGGAAATGTTTACCATGCGTTGTGGATGTAAGGGAAGAAATTCAAATAATTAATGCTGTTAATAAAGCTATTGATACATTTGGAGGCATAGATATTGTTATAAATAATGCCAGTGCAATATCATTAACAGGAACTTTAGACACTGATATGAAAAGATATGATCTAATGCATAATATTAATACCAGGGGAACATTTTTGGTGTAATTATAGTTTTATTTAAACTTTTGTACTATGTACACAATATTTAATTTTACCTGTATTAATATGATAATTATTAACACTATTATATACTTATTTAGATCAAAAATATGCACACCTTATTTGAAAAAAAGCAAAAACGCACACATTTTAAACATAAGCCCTCCATTAAATATGAATCCTAATTGGTTTAAAGAACATGTTGCTTATACAATGGCAAAATATGGAATGTCAATGTGTGTTTTGGGAATGGCTGCTGAACTTAAAAAAGATAATATTGCGGTTAATGCTTTATGGCCTAGAACTGGTAAGTGAAAATAATGTAATGTCTATATAAAAAGGCTTTTTTTTTTTACTAGCATAATAATAATCTATATGAGTTTTAGTCGCCACCATAGTAATAAGTTAATGGTTACCACTGACATGATATAACATGCCATTTATTTAAATTTATTAATATGTTTTGTATTAGTATTATTTATTAAGTATGTTGTAGTTTTGTATTAAGTAGGTATTTATTCATACATTTTGAAATTAAGATCTATACAATTTTATTACTATTACAATTGTAATAGTGAACTAGATGAGTGAAATATACTGAGATGGTTTGGAAATGTGATGAGATGACAGGAAACAAAGGCAGGAAGAGTGGTTATGAAAATTAACGTTGGGGGGAAAAATGAATAGGAAGACTAAAAAAGTTATGGTTGAATATGACTGAGAATGATGTGAGAGCTCTTGGTGTGTGCGTATGGCAGAGATTTCCAATTTTTTTTTACTCACGGCACCCTTTATTATTTTCTAAAAATTTGGAGGTACCCTATAGCCTATGGACAATACTCTATAGTTTATACTGAATATCCAATACTATATTTAAATTTATATTTTGTAACTTCGGTTTTATTTAGCATTAATAAACAATAAAGATAAAATAGTCACAAGTATTTCACCGTAAATAACTTTAACTATTCACATCAAATCGATAGCAATCGAACCACTATGAAAATTAAAATAGATTAAACATCTAAGTATTACTATGTAAAAATTATATGTGTTATATTCTAATTATATTTTATATATCTAATTAATTATACTCAATAGATTTTATTCTATAGACATAGAGTATAGTATGTTTTATTACTCATAGTGCTATATTTTTCATGAAGGTGTTTAAAAATAAATATATAATTCAAATATTTTTGCGGCACCTTATATTTAATTTCGCAGTACCCTAGGGTGCCGTGGTGCACTGGTTAGGAACCTCTGGCGTATGGGATACAGAAAATCGAGAACGGGGAGATTTTGAACTATGGTGGCAGACCCCAAATAGTTAAGAGGAGGGCGAAGGAGAAGTAGAAAAATTCAATTGTAATTTCTATTTTTATTTAATGTACGATATTTACTACAATATTTTAAGTGTAGGTAATTCAGTAGATTTATAACAGTATACAAACTAAGAATATTAACAATAATGAATAATGATGTGGTGTGAAATGAGATACAATGGAGAATATTAATGATATTATCCTTTACTCCTTTATTAATCCTTCACAACTACCATCTAAGACATGGAACATGATACAATCCAAAATAACCTCTCATCCACTTATCCAATCAATGTTCTAACTGCACACATTACACAAAACTCATCATAGAGAAGCGTCGAGCCCATTGCATATGACAAAGAACCCGCTTTCCAAGTTCAAAAATAGTCTTAATCACCTCACTAACTCCGTAAAAAATATTTTTATTATATTATTTTGATAAATACCACAAATATCTAAATTCTCTCTTCAAAACTATTAATTATTTTTGGAGAGCAAATAAAAATATTCTAAATTAAAAAACCAAAATACCTCTATTACGAAATCCTGACAATTCCCTAGCATCATCTAATATTGACAAAGCTAATCTATTCACAGCAGATCTCAAAAATAGATTCTCACCACACTCAAATTTATCCAATTTATCCACTACACTCACGTTTGAAGCCTTACTGCTAAACACATTACCAATGTATCTTCCTCTAAACATACCTCTCCATCTGAAGTTCTAAATATCATAAGAAACCTAAAAAACAATAAATTCCTTGGCCACAACTCGGTAACTAATACAATCGCTAAAATCTGCCCAAGAAAGTAATCATATTTCTTACATAAATTTTCAACAACATTCTACGTCTATCCTTTATCCCTTCTACCTGGATATACTCCATTATAAAATTAATACACAAGGCTGGCAAACCTCCAGATACCCTCTCTTTATATAGACCTACAAGCCTCCTCCCAAAATTTCCCAAAATTCTGGAAAAATAAAATTAAAAAGAATTTACTCGATAATAAATGAAAAAAAAAATCATTCCAAATACATTATTTGGCTTTAGAAATAAGCATTCTTCTTTACACAGGTTATTCGATAGCACTGTCTTATCCCTGGAATAAAAAAAAATGTATTCTGATTTTTTTCTTGACCTTGCTCAGACGTTTGATCGGGTCTTGCATGAAGGGTTAATGTTCAAGCTTCTATTCTTACCTACCCCGTGATTTTTAACCCTCAAATAATTTCAATTAAACCGAACTTTTGCAATAAGATTTGAAGACGAAATCTCTATAAAAGCAAACGTCTCCCAATGCAGTTTCCCCCCCCCCCCCCAAATCTTTACAGTATATTTACATCTGTCCAACCACAGTTCAACAATCCCACTCTAGATAATTTCGCCAACGATACAGCCATAACCTCATCTAACTCCGATACAACCGCTGTTCAAAAAACTTTCAATAACACCTTACTACTACAACCTAACTACAAGATTAGTTTACCGAATGGAAAATTAAAACTAATTAGTCCAAATCCATCGACGTCACATTTACCTTCAGCCTTAAAAATATTCCTCCTGCTCACCTCAATAACCACCAAATCCCTATGCACAACACCGTTAAATACGAGTACCTAGGTCTCCTTCTCAATGAAAAACTAACCTGGGCAAACTGTATTAGAGAAAAAAGAACATCACTTAACTTCAAACTACACAAACTAAGACCACTACTACGATCCAAAATATCTTTAGAGAACAAGTCGCTAATTCACAAACAAATACTATGTCCTGCAATGGCATATGGCGTCCATCTTTGGGAAGCCTCCGAAAATTAAAATCTAAATAAATTTCAAGCATTCCAATCAATAACTCTTTGTGTCCTTTTTAATGCCTCCTTGTATGTCAATAATCGTACTCTTCACTAGACCTCAAACTACTAACAATATCAACACTTGCTTCTTATTACTATAATACATTTTATACAAACTCCTTCAACTACAACAACCCCCTCATGTTTAATCTATCTTCCCGCACATTACCAGATAAATCACCCGTCGTCTTAAACGTAAGTGACCACGTAATCTATTAATCAATATCTAAATCAATACTAGTAACTAGGTTTCAAATTCGAAATAGTGTCGATGGACGCCCCTACCTTCAAACCATCATGTCAAAAATCTGTCAACCTATTTACTTATTTTATTACTGTGTATACAGATTGTAAATTTCATTTTATAATTAAAAAATTGTAATACTACAAAATAAATATTAGGTACCTACTAGCTTCAATATAAGGTTCATAGAGAGTTGCAGTTTATGACAATTCTTATTTAAGAATTGTCATAAACTGCAACTAAGATAAAATGGTCGATATTCGATAATATCGATAAGGATAGTTTTTTTATTTTTTATTTAGAGCTGTAGTATGAAACTATTCAGCTCGAATAAGGATAGGTAGTTAATATAGTATTATAGTTAAATGATAGTTAAATAATATTATACGAGTGGGCAATCATGATATTAATACAGTTTGGCAACGTTGCACGATTTTTATTAAAAATATTTTGGGCGCAAATGGGCTATAAAAGAGGCAAGTGAGCTGCTCTGGTGGAAATATTTTAAATACCTATTAATTATTTTTAAATTTTTTTGTGTAAGAACAGTTTAATAGATTAAGGGTCACATAATAGTCTGATTTGTATTTTAATCCATTAAACATCCATGAAAAATAACTTGAAATTAAAATAGCCATTCTTTAGTTTAATAGTTGTTATGATTTATCTATGAACATTTCAATGTATAGCAATTAAATATTAAATAATTGGTTTCATTATTTGTAGCTCATGTAATTACTTAGGTTGGTAGGAGAGGGTAAGCGTATCCGGTAGCTTAATAAATTAGTATAAAATATACGATAACCTTTTCAACAATTACTTATCAGACGTCACACAGTTTTTTTTATCTGTAATCGTCATTCATTATTGCCATTATGTAATGCATTCATATATATTATATGTGAAATAAAAATATATCTAATTTATATTAATCAATTAATTAGTCAATTTAGCTACCGGATACGCTTACCTTCTTCTAAAAACTTACCTACTTAATCTATAATAATTATTATCAAACTGATTACTTTATTAATAATTTAATATTATTATAACAACATGAATCAAAGAATGGTAATTTTATAATTTTATTAGAATTAAAATATTTCAAAAGTAATTTTTCTCAGCCGGTCAAGGATTAAAAATATAAATTGGACTATGATTGTGATGTGATTATGATGTGACGCTTTAAAATAAAAATGTTGGGAAAAATAATTATGGATTTATTTCCATTGTCTTTACCTTTATAATTTTAACTTGGTGTTCAAAATTAGTATAATTAAAAGCCAAAAAGAACAATTAAATTATTATTATTTTTATATACTATACTATGAAACTGTGGTAGTTGATAATTTAATTTTACGTATATAAAATTATTAAAAATAATTGAAATATTGGTTTATGTAGAGGATTTGCAATTAAATAATTAATGATTAGATTTAGTACATTAATACGAATCTTACATGTACATTGTAAATCTTTTTTTATTAATAACAGGCGCGTACACAAGGAAGGGTTTTAGGGGTACGACCTCTCTCTCGAAATTCAGGAAAATTATTAAATATGTTTTTATAAATTATATACATGAAATATATATCCTTAAACCCCCTTTAATATATTTGTTTGCATTGTACTTATAAAAAATGATATTATTGATTGATCACTTAAAAACAATAAGTTGCTGAAGATAATTCTTATTTATTTTGAATAGATTTAAATCAAGTTTTATAACATAGCATTTTATAACACTAGAAAAATAAATTAAATATACAATACCTATTAGGTCTGGATTAAGTTATTTTGAAGCCCTAGGCACTTTATCCACAATATGTAGAATATATGTCATATTTGACTAAAAATATCAAATAAATAAATAAATAAATCAATTTATAGTAATTTAAGAAAATTATTTTTTCAATCAATTTTTGGATTTTAGAATAAAAATACAACTATTATTATGACTAATATAATAATAATATATAATGTAATAATTAATTGAAAATAATATAACTATTATATAGTGGCCCCATAAGTTTGTAGGCCCAATGAGTAGTGCCTATAGTGCCTAAGCGGTAATATTACTCTGCATATATACGAGTAGTATCAATTATAGTAAATAAAGTAATCCTGATTACTATTTTAGGTAATTTTATATTTTACATACTAATTTAACTGTAACTACTATTAATTTATATACTTATTATATTGTATATAATTATAAATTATATTGAATTGTATTGTAAGTTAATTATAAGTTGAAATCTATAATAATGATAATTGAAAATTCGATATAAATTATTTATTTTTACAGTTATTCATACTGCAGCTGTTGAGATGTTATCTGGTATAGATGGAGCAAAATCGTTTTCACGAAAACCCGAAATAATGGCTGATGCAGCTTATTCCATTATTACTAAATCAATTAATCATTTTAACGGTCAATTTTTAATTGATGATGAAGTACTACAACAAGAGGGCATTACAGATTTCAATCAGTATTTAAGTGATCCAAGTATGAAGTTTGTTTCATTTTAAATAATTATTTAAAAAAAATAAAAGTGTACTTAAATAGAGTATACCTAGTATATAGACGTCTATGATTGATGTATAGTATAATATTAAATAACTATTTAAGTCTTCAACTCAGGAATTTTTTATGGGGGGGGGATCAAAATTTTTATTTGATCTGTTCTCTAATTATAATTATAGTTTAACCAATACCAACAAATTACTGTTAATATGCTAGTATAGCTTATACATTATATGTATATTATATAATTTATAAACTTTGTACATTGAAGATAATAGGAAATTAAAATACAACAGTGTTGTAAAAATCATAGGTGCAGGAGGTGCACAGCACCGGGGTTTGCAGGGTCAAAGGGCCCATAGTAGATAGCCGTCAATTTTTTTAATTTTATTTAATTTGATTCATAATTATTGCATTATTATCTTGTATTTAATTTTATATAACAAAATGTAAAAGTCTGATCCGTTTTATTTGGAATTGTTTATCTAAATATTGGGAAAAATACTAGAGAGACAGAAATAGATTACTTTTACATTTTATTGTAAATCATATTTATAAAATCCATAATCATATATTCATATTATATATATTTTATCTATCTTTTTAGTTTATTTTACAAATTTTTTTATTAATATAATCTCCCCAATATACAATTGTGATCTTCTATACCTACTAAGTTGAAGCTTTACACATAATTGTTTCAGCCTTAAAATTATCCATCGGTTCTTTAAAATTCAATACATCCACAAATACTATCCGATCTAGGGAGTAAAAAATTCCCATAGTGTGAGATCAGTCCGACTTTTTATGTATCTCAAAAAAGAGGGGTCCATGTACGTTTGTCTGCACCTGGGTCTTTGACACTCTATTGACGGCACTGATGTTAATGTTGAATTAATTTTTAAATATATTTTATTTTTCTATTATTGGAAGGATTCATTCTTCCAATAATAGAAAAATAAAATATATGAAAAGTTATCATGACCCAATCTTAGAATCAGAATTTTTTCCCTTCTTGCATTTATGGATTTTATAGGTTTGTATAAAAATTTAGCCAACAACTCCTCTGGACTAAAAATATTAAAAACCTTATTATTATCCCTGATCAATATAAAATACTGTTTGATATTGATAACAAGAATATTAATCGTAATTCTTGATTTTAAAAAACAATTAAAAATACCAACAACTTGAAACTTCTTCCTAATAATTGTATTACCTATAATTTACTATACTTTTACATAAAAGTTTTTGTAAAAAATAAATATGTTAAACATGTCATGGTGTGTTTTCTTAACACTAAAAAAATTGTTAGTTAAAATTTCTCATATTTTAGTGGGACTCAATAATTATTGAATTTTAACCTCAATACAAATGATTAATATGATGTTTATCTACGTTTTAAATATTCTTATATTTATTTTAGCTAAAAATGGTCAGCTTATGATGGATTTTTTTCTGGGAGAAAATCCACATAATGGTTTCAATCAAGGTAAAGAAGTAGCAAGAAGACAAGCTCAGAAAATTAAAACAAAAATTAGTGACGAGTGACTAATTTTAGATTTAAACTTAGTTTCATATACGTATTACTATTATTTGTGAGTAACTAGCTGACCCGACAGACGTTGTCCTTTCTTAATTATGAATATTGAATTCGAATTGGTATAATTAATAAAAAAAATATTTAAAAAAAAGTGTTTATTATTCTAATGCTTTATGATATACAACATTCTTAGTTTCTTTTTCTTGCCCGTATATAAATAGTTTTGTTGGTATTCTGACACGGAAACAGGTGACATATAAATGGCCATGTGGAAAACATGGATTTCCATCTGTGGCGTAACTGGGAAAAAACCTAGGGGGGGCGATATAATATATTTATATTACCAAAACCCTGACACCCTTCCTCCCCCATACCAGTTAAAACATATTTTTATTGTAAGTTTTTTATACACTATATCTAATTGTTTGATTTTATATAAGTCTTTTAACTCATTTTATGGTTTAGATAAACATAAATTGTAGGTAGCATGTACTATAGGGTGGTCCTTAGTTATAGAGGTTAAAAACAAAATTGAAAAATTTATACTCGTGGGCTCGAAATTTTGTTTGGTATATTGACAAGATAATTTTGGTAAAATTTGAATTTGATAAGTCAACCCCTTCACGTGCCTCAAAGGGGTTAAAGTTG